AGCAGACTACCAAGCAATCGTTTAACCTGCAAGAGATTAAACTTTAAAACACGATTCTTATTTGGGATTAAAGTTGGATATTACTAACGAAAAAATTAATTACTAAAAATTTCGAATAAAGTTATTCGTAATATAAGTAATAAATTTATTCGAATATTTTATTTTATTTATTCATAATTGTTATAATCGATCGCTCTTCGTATATAATCTTGGTAATTAGATCTTATAGTAAAAAAAATTCAATGCTTTAAATTATTCAAATAATTTATTGTTAACTTTAATGGTTAAAATTTTACTTATTTTTGTCTGATATTTTTTTATGCTGCAATTTTATTTTAGTAAGTAAGGAGTATATAAGTTATAATAATTATTTAAATTGTAAGAAATATTATAAGCAAGAACAATTATTTAAGTAATCTTTAATATAATATAAGAGAAAGATGTTTATAATAATTGATAAAGATATGAAAGAATTAATAATTTTTAGATATTGAATTTAGATTATTATATGCAAAAGAGATTATTAGATTATTATATGCAAAAAATTGAAAAAAATTCCTAGATAAAGATAAGATAAAGATAACGTTTGTTAATAAATATATTTTTTTAAATCTTTAATCCTTTTTAAAATATTTGATTGTATAAAGATAAAATAGATATAATAGATTTATATCCTGTATATTATGTATCTATATCATATATATATATGAATATAATAATTATATTCATTTCATTGAATAATAATTATATTCATATTGTATATATTAATACATAATTGTAATAATAATATTGTATGTATATAAATACATACAATAACATAATATGTGTGTATATATAATGATATAAATTGAAAGTTATTAAAATAAATGGTTTTGTGCAAAAAATTGATAAATAATTACTTTATATTATTATATATTTATATTAATATTATAGCTATTAAGCTTAAAAAACCTATTAATTATATACCTATTATATAAACCTTAATTATATAAACCTATTATATATGTAATTAGTTATATACCTATTATATGTAATTAATTATATATATAATAGTATATATATTATATATAAATATATACACATAATATTATTCAAAATCTTGAATAAAGTATCAATATCAAAGTATAATTTATTGCATATCTGTATTGATTGCTTTTGTTTCATTTTCTAATTAATATTATGAAGCATGATACTTATTAGAATATACATAATATAATTTCTGATGGATAATAACATTCTTTCACTTTTGCTAATTTTCTATTCAATTTGAATACATTTTATTTATTTTATTTTTTTTTCCTTTACTTAGTATATAATTATCAAAGAAAAAATTCTATTAATTATAAATATATTCAATTAATTACTTATAAATTATATATTATACTTATAAATTATAAGTTAAATAAAAAAATTACTGATTAAAATTAAAACGATATTAATAATTATTAAATAATAATCAATTACAATATATTGAAAATGAATCTCTGATTCTTGCAATTTAGACATATCTAAATATTCTTATTTTCATTTTTTTCATTTTTATAAAAAGAATACATTTTTATATATTTTTACTTATAATTTTCCATCACAAAATTTAACTATTTCTATTTTACAAAAGTTATCAATAAATTAAGGATATTTATGCAGCTAAAATAAAATTAAAAGTTCAACTAATATGTTCAATTATATAGAAAATATCGTATTATATTATGTAGAAAATTATAGTAGTAATTCCAAAATATCAATAGTTTTAAAATGTAGATTTATTTATTTATGCATAAATTTAATAATATATTATAATGTCATATAAATATATATTAATATATAATATTATAAAATATATAATAATATATAATATATAATATATATAATAATATATAATAATATATATT